GCCCCATCCCGACTGGAGGCTTGAACCCGGGACTTCCGCGTCTCTCTGCAGCGACCTAGCCCCGTGAGCTAAAGAAGGGCGGTGACGTCACCCGCTCTGGTACGCCGGCTCTTACACACAGTGCTTGTCGGCCGTAAGCGTTACAATAATATTTTTCTTCAGAAAAGTTCATACTTCTGAAAACTCTTATGATTTGTTGGTATAACCTGCCAGGGCTGTTGACTTCATATATTATTTCATAGAGCAAATAATAGTTTACACAGAAAGCAAGGTCCATGGGTTCAATTATCAAAGAAGTTAAACAAGTCCTTCATTTTTTTTAATACATATTGGCAGTTTCTTAAAATATAAATTATTTTGGATTGTTAATAGCCTTATAGTTTAGCTCTAATGATCATTTCCTTACCTTTACCAGTAGCAGCTGGTTGGTCATAATTTTTCAGATCAGATTAGGTGCTAGCGGTGCGGTCTGTGAACATTTAACATTTACTATAAAATATGTAATACCGTATATGGCCTTTCTGCAGGATTTTAAATAAGATTTATGTTAATCCATCATCATGTATCTTACCTCTATCGTATTCATCCTTCTGTCTCTGCTCCTTGTCCACAACTGCCAAGATAGGGTAAGGGTTGTTCATTTCATCATCGGTTTCCTTAGAAAAATGTTTTTCATCCACCTGGAAAAAATATAATGTAGTGAAGACCCAGCAATGGTATTCCCCAAGTACTCCCACCAAGTTTGGAGGGTCTCTGAGATCTTCAGTGGGGCTCACATAGCTGTATACAATTAGAGATTATCTAAAGGTTAGTTTTCAGCTCTAGTAATTAAAAAAAATCTAGATTCATTGTGTTCTCCCTTTAGAGTTACTTGTCTTGAATAGTAAGGTCACATCACCTTAAGCATGAAACATCTGTTAAAGCATCAAATCATAATAAAATATCCAAAAATGTCCTTTAATTTGTTTCTATATCCTTTCCTATTTTATTGTACACATCAATGGTGTGCACTAATGAAAATTAAGTAAAAATAAAAAAGTGAATTTCAATTTTGAGCAAAGATATATTGTAGGGAAATAAAACCTTTAGTAATTACAATTTACCACATTAAACTGTACACTTTACTCAGAAGCATCAATGAAGAGAGAGAAAGACTTTCAGAAATACAGAAATACATGACGACAAAGATGGTAGAAACCCAGGCAGGAAGGACTGCTGACCTGCTTCACCATGTCGTATACAATTGTAGATGCAAATACATCTGTGATGGAAAAGTTCTCATCCTTTTCTGCCTCCATAATTCTTGCCAATGCTTTTAGACAGTCAAACGAGCCAGTTGTGAGTCTTTGCACCATCTCTTTCTCTGCCTTCTCTAATTCAGAGGACCAGGTCTGGTTGTGGTACAAAGATGTCAAACACCTGCATTCATACATAAACAAGAGTAGAGACCAGGAGAAAAGTCGGTGCTCAACCCTTATATCTTACAGAATTAGAGCAGAATTAGATGTTCTGCTGCTTTATGCGAACCTTCAGAATTCATATTGATTCCACAGATCCATGTGGCACAAACCTGGACCCCAGAGCCCAGTCTCTCAGACTCACCAGGTAGATCCTGACACTCCACATAGGTACATGATGGTGTCCAGCAGGTTCTGAGCCCCCAGCTCAGTTAAAGTCCCCATGAGAGCCACCAT